TTCCTTCCTTCCTTCCTTCCTTCCTTCCTTCCTTCCTTCCTTCCTTTTCTCCCTCCCTCCCAGACTTAATTTTCCTTCCTTCCATTCTCTCCTCTGGATGCCTGGCGCTTCATTTGTCTTTCTTTCCACCACGCCTTCCTTATTCCCCGCTGGGCAAACTTCCTACAGGAGTCAGGGGCAGCAGCCTTATCCATCCGGTAAATAAATTAAGCGGCCACATTTAAATGCCACCCGTAGACAGACTACAGTAAACATGTCGCTCGGACGCGCAGGCTGGGAAAAGCATCCTTGCCTTTCCCTGGTGGGAAAAAAACAGAAACCTTGATGAAACGGCCTCTGCATTTTTTTTTGAAAAAGGCCCATTTCCCCCCCCCCCCCACCCTGCAAGTAACGGAAGATTTCTCCCTCGCAGTTCCTGCGCTAGAGCAGCCCAAATGCTTTCTGAATGTAAACACGCCGGTGACTCATCAGCGTGAGCCTGCCGGGGGAGTTGGGAGGAAACTTTGAATGAGCGTAGAACAAATAACATTTGTGTGCCTCTGTGTGTGTGTGTGTGTGTGTGTGTGTGTGTGTGTGTTCACCAGGAGTGCTAAAAGCCACAATAGCTGGACCCCCTATTTAAAAAGTCTTAGGTCTCCGGGGAATTGTTGTAACGTTGGGCGTGGAAGCTTGGCGAAGTTGGCTGGTTCTTTTTGCTGGCTTTTGACTCTGGGGACGCAGAAGGAAGGAGCTGTTGTTGACAGCCGATAGCTGCTGCTGCGTGGTCTGTTTCGTTTCAGGGGGAAACTCCCAACGTTGGCAGCCGAGGAATCCCCTGCTAGGTGGGGCAGAAGATAAAGCCCAGAGAAAGGCTGACATGTCAGCCCAGGGCTTCCCTGCCTCTTATCTGTTTCTGGAGCACAGAAAAGCTCAGTGAGGCGTGGATTAGCTGCTACGCCTTACTCATATTTTCCCTACCGGCGTGGGGAGAGGCAGAAATTTATCCTCCACTCCTCGACTTACAATTCGTTCGTTTACTGACTGTCCAAACAAGGGCCCTCAAAAAAGGGGATTTACGACCGTCTTTCACACTTAGCAATCGTTGCAGCGTCCCTGGGGTCCTGTGGTCAAGATTCAGACCCTTGGCAACCGATTCGCATTTACGTCGGGCGGGGTGTCCCCCTGCGACCTCCTTGATGAGCCGAGTCCATGGGGGGAGCGGGGGAGCTGGATTCACTTAATAACGGTGTTTTGTTAACTTAAAAAAAAAAACGGCAGCGTGGCAGGAAAAGGTCGTAAAAAGGGGCAAAAATGCAATGAGTCTCGCTTAGCGAGGGCAATTTGGGGGCTCTGTGGTGGTCGTAAGTCGAGGACTACCTGTAGCTGCGGGGTACTCGGGCCGCCCAGAATATGAGGAGTGGGGTTGCATTTGAAGCCTCTTTCCTTGACCCAGTTGCATTTTGCAAATTTGCAAAAAAAAAAAGAGAGAGAGAGAGAGAGAGAGATCTGGTTTGGAAGAACGGATTTTCCCGGCTCTCTAATTTGCCACGGCCGAAACTAGAGAGCTTCAGAAATTCGATTTGGATCCTCTTTTGAAGATTTTCCCCTCCGGTGGGTGTCTCTCTGTGGCGACTGCGAAAAGTTTGGGCCTGTTTTTGAAACTGGAGAGGCCGGCCTTCCCCGATGGGAGGGACTCGTGTCTTCCAGATTTCTTAGCCTTCTGGAGCCCAGGCGCGTCTGGAGGGTCTCCAGGCGTGGTGAAGCTGCTCCCTCTAGATTTCGGCATGCAGAAAAACAGAACGATGGAGTTGGAAGGGACCTTGGAGGTCTTCTAGTCCAACCCCTTCTCAAGCAGGAAACCCTATCCCATTCCAGACAAAAAGGCTGCCCAGTCTCATCTTTAAAACCTCCTTGTTCTAACTCTCCAGAGATTTCTCCTTAATTCTAGGTTGGTTCTCTCCTTCGTTGGTTCCCCTCGGTTATTTCCTGACGCGGGTGCTTTGAAAAAAAACAAAACAAGTTGAACCCCTGCAGTTAATGGTTTTGCCTTCGGTTTCTTGTTCAGAGCTGGCTCAATTCACTTTAACTTCTTCCTTCTCTTTTCTGAACATCCAGGAAGGGACTTCCAAGTTTGCCACACTGGAGATCAACCCCAAAAGAGCGCAGAAGCGGCAGCAGCAGCAGCGAGAAATGGTGAGGATGTGTCCATGCCACGAACTTCAGACTGGCGCTCTCATCGCTTGGGGTTTTTCTTGCGGACATTTCATTTACCTAACAGGGAAACATCATCAGTGCTAGGAGGGAGTGGGCTTTGTGGAGAGGAGGAGGAGGAGGAGGACTGTGGGGTCCTTGGTGCACTCTGAGCCTGGTTGTTTTCTTGCAGATGTTTCATTACCCAAACTGGGTAACAAATGCTATTCGTCACTAGCACTGATTACGTTCCCTAGTTGGGTCATGAAATATCTGTAAGAGGACCACCAAACTCAGAGAGCACCAAGGACCCTTCAATTCATCCCCCAGCTACAAATATTCTCCTTTATTGAAGCTCAGACTGCAGTCTAAGCTTAGTTCCTGCAATACAGCGTAGCGTAGAATAGAATAGGAATAGAGTAGAGTAGAGTAGAGTAGAGTAGAGTAGAGTAGAGTAGAGTAGAGTAGGACAGAACAGAACAGAACAGAACAGAACAGAGTAGAATAGAATAGAATTCTTTATTGGCCAAGTGTGATTGGACACACAAGGAATTTGTCTTTGGCGCAAATGCTCTCCGTGTACATAAAGGAAAAGAGACATTTGTCAAGAGTCAAGGATCATCAGGTACAACACTTAATAATCGTCATAGGGGGTCCAGAGAGGATAATGGTGCTGGTGACGGCAGGGATGACCAAGAATTGCCTTGAAGAGGTTTCACTCCTCATCCGAGAAGCTTCTTCAGCTCAGTTCTTGGAGAAGCTTCTTGGATGAAAAGTGAAACTTCTTCAAGGCAAAATGAAGTCCGGGTGCTTTTGAAAAAGCTTCTTTGGGACAACAATGGCCTGGATTGACTGAGAATCTCCCTAGACCTCCTTTTCTGCAGTTTCTCCTGCCTGCTTTCCTATTCCTAATTTTAATTATTATTATTTTTTTCATTCCAGGGTGTAATGCAAGGCACCATTCCTTACCTGGGCACCTTTTTGACCGACCTGGTGATGCTGGACACGGCCATGAAGGATTATTTAGACGTAGGTTCTCCTTGTATATCCTAGTTTTCCTTCTCCCTTTTTTATCCTAAGGGACAATTTTAATTTTGGCACTTCCTCGCCTCTGTCCTTTCCTGATTTATGTTTTTGATTTTTCCTGATTTATGATTTATGTTTTTGTTTTTTGTGTTTTTTAAATTTGATGCTTCGGATGCAGGGGGGGGGGGTGGTCGTTGTTGTTGTGTTTTTTTTGTAAAACAAGCACAAAACGTAGTTTGTTGGTTGGTTAGGGAATTTTGCTCCGCCCAGATGGGGGCCAAAAGAGAGCATGCCGCCCCCTGGTGGTGGACTTCTGATTTTCTTTTGCTTACATTTAAGCAATGTTTACGTTTTATTTCGTGGGGTTTGGGGTCTCTTTGGCAGCATACTTTTAAAACAGACAGCAGGAGGGTTGTCCTCTCTTTCTAGTGAGATGGTTGGCAGATGCATGTTATAAACACTCGAAAAATATATATATACCCCTCACGCATCATCACAAAATCTCCAGAACTGTAAAGCCTACAAACTTGAAATTTGGCCCCTATCTTCCTCTTGGCTTCTAGGGGCTTATTATTGCTTAAGACTTTTCGAGTGTTTTTATATTTGAGATTCCAGCCATATCCTGTTGGATTTCTCGTCTTTTTAAATGTATTTTACTCCTCTTGAATGCCTGTATTTTTTTTTAATATCTAGCCTCTGGATGCAGATAAATACATTGTGATCCTCGCTATGTTCGCTGATTCTGCTTTGCTACAGAAAATATATCTGTTCTCATCTCTTAGATGTTTAGAAATTAAAAATCGGGCTGAATTGGAATACTAAGGATCTGTGTTTGTTTGTTTGTTTCCTTTCGTTTTAGGGCGGCCTGATCAACTTTGAGAAAAGGAGGAAGGTGAGATATTCGTGATTGTGGTTGTTACGCTGGCCGGGCTTAAGGGCCACTGCAATTAGTCCTCGATCTACGACTGCAATTGAGCTCAATATTTCTGCTACTAAGTGAGACAACGATGAATAAATAGGAACCGGTTGCCCAGGGTCCGAATGTTGATCACGTGACCCTGGGGAACGATGCAACGGTCGTAAGTGTGGGAAACGGTCACAAGTCCCTTCTTTCAGGGCTACTAAATGAATAGTTGTAAGTCAAGGACTACCTGTATGATCTTGGGGGGGAGGCAGCGGCTCAAATATGTGGAAGGAAAATCTAAAAATGCCAGAATTCACCTTCTGCTCGAAAGAGGTGCTGGTTGACTGGCTGGCATTTTCACAAGAGGTTTTTCAATCAAGAGTTTTGATTAAATCCACCCTCCCTTTGCCGCTGCTTTGAAAGTCACGTTTCTGGGTCGTTTTGTTTCCTTGAACGCCTTCCTTCTTCCTGCAGGAGTTCGAAGTCATTGTCCAGATCAAGTTGCTTCAGTCGGCTTGCAATAATTACAGCTTCAAGAAGGACGAGCGGTTTGGGACGTGGTTTCACGGCGTGGAGCGGCTCAGCGAAGCCGAGAGGTAAGAAGGGCGCCTGTCTTCAACGGGGCTGCAGGTGAAGGTTTCTGTGGGTTTGTCTCTCTCTTCCCCTCTCCGCCAGTTTCTTGCTCACGGGGTGGAAAGTTGAGGAGTTGGCCTGTAAAGCCAAGAAATATTTTTGTGTGTACGTGTATCCTGCCTGGTTATTTTTGCAAATAAGGCTGCAAACCTTACCAACACACCTTCCTCCTCCTATTTTTCAACGACTCCTGTGAGGTGGGTTGGGCTGAGGGAGGTAGACTGGCCCAAAGTCACGCGGCTGGTTTTCATGCCTAAGTCGGGACTAGAACTCACCGCCTCCTAGTGATTGGCCCCAAGTCACTCAGCCAGTTCTTGTGCCTAAGTCGGGACTAGAACTCGCCGCCTCCTGCTTTGTAGCCTGATGCCTTAACCACTAGACCAAACCTCCTACAAGTGGGTCTCCATGCTTACAGTCCGCTCTTCCCTTTGCTTTCAGCTACGGCCTTTCGTGTGAAATCGAACCCTTGTCGGAGTCGGCCAGCAACACGCTGAAAGCCAAGAAGAACACAGGCATCATTAAGCGGTGGAGCGAGTAAGTGGGGAGGGTGGGGGCCGGAGGGTCTTCAGTGCCACCCTGGCTTCTTGTCCTGCCTTCAGGTGCTTTGGAGAAGAGGCTGACCCCCCCCCCTTTTCTTAGGGGCAGCCCCTCAAATACCGGAAGACGGCTATCATATAGTTCCCTGCCTGTCTTCTCTCATGGTTTCCTAGGCAGCGTGTCCCTCCCTCCTTTCCTTCCTTCCTTCCTTCCTTCCTTCCTTCCTTC